CTCTTTTTTTTTTTTTTTTGACACACACACACACACACACACACACACACACACACACACACACACACACACACACAGAGAGAGAGAGAGAGAGGCCTGACTTGTCCTGGAACTCACTGTGTAGACCAGGCTGACCTTGAACTTACAGAGTTCCACTTGCTTCACTTTCCTGAGTGTGGGATAAAAGGTGTGCACCACCACTGCCCAGCCTCATAGACACATGGGCTGACTTGTCTCTCTTTATATCAGACGAAGATTATAATAACTAAATTTTAGGATCTTTATAATAATAACAGCAAATTTTAAAGTGATTGTGGTACACAAGGCACATGTTTTCTTTCATCTAACCCTCACCAAAACCTTAGGAGATTCTGTGGATGTAGCTCAGCTGGTGGAACATTTGCCTGATATGTGTGATATGGGTCTCATCCCCAACACTACAAGAAGCAGGCATGGTGGCACATGCCTGTCATCCCAAGGCACTCAAGAGGTAGAACCAAGATCAGAATAGGTATTATTATCCTCTACCATGAGGAAATGGGCTCAGCTCAGAAAGGTCACTAAACATTTCCATGATGACAAAGTTAGCAGGAGCAAAAGACATAATTTGAATTCAAATTCATCTCATTCCTCTTATCTGCTCTTGTGTGGGAAACTAATAGGTTGTATGCATAAACGCACCTCTGACCGAGCTAGCTAATTGCGTAGCAGGGCATGGTGGACCCATACCTGTGTAAACACAGTGCTCTGGAGGTAGAGGCAACAGAATCTCAAAGGCAAAGCCAGCTTGGGATACATTATGAGGTTCTGTCTGCAAAAACCAACACAAAAACTAGCTACCCAAAGCTTGATGACTTTGCTTCAGCCCTAAGATTCATCCCATCATTCAGAGAAGCAGAAATGTAACTTGCAAGGCTTTCATAAGGAATATTGGTATTTAATGGAGTTTCTAAGCCAGGAGCCATGCTGTGTCCTTATAACCCCAGCCACTTGAAAGGATAAGGCCGGAGGGTGGAGAGCTGTAGGTCACGTTGGGCTCTACAGTAAGATCCAAGTCAGCTGGGGCAATATGGCACCACCACAGCTCAATAATCAAGTCAGTCAAGAGTAAGAGAGAAGACAGAGAAGTCAAAAGAGAAGAGCGAGCTTTTGTGTATGTGCAGGTTGGTTCCCTCATTGTGGTAGATGGTCCCTGATCTTTCATGACATGTTTGTACTACTTGGTAGCTTCCTCCCATACAACTCTGGTTTGAACTTGTGATTTGCTTAAACCAATAATGTGTCAAAGGAGTGGAGACATACTGGTTTCCACTTGAAGGCTAGAAGGCTTTTGTGTAGCTAGGTGCCAAGGTGGTCTACACTTACAATTCTTATCCCTACACTTGAGAGACTAAGGCAGGAAGATCATGAATTTGAGGAGAGCCTGAGCTATGCCGTGAGATGCCTCCTTCTCAAACAAACCAACCCAAAACCAAACAAAAACCAAAACTAAAGGCAAAGCAAACCAAAACAAATACCACTAGCTTTGTGCTTTTTCATTCTCCCTCAAAAATCCTCCCACCAGCATGAGGAAGAAGTCAGGAGTACCTTACACAGGGTGAGAGACTTTGAGCCATGAACTCTGTCCTCTTGAGTCCTTCCCAGATGTCTTAGTCACTGTTCTATTGCTCTGAAGAGACTTCATAACCAAGGTAACTCTTATAAAAGAATGTTATAGGATAATCTTTTTGTATGCTATGAAGATGTGTCTGTTTTACCTCATCTGCCTAAAGCACCTTCTGATTGGTTTAATAAAGAGCTGAATGGCCAATAGCTAATTGAGACATGAGACTCCTTAAAGAGGCCCTTTTGTGCAGCTGAGCAGCTGAGTTGGGCCTGTGAGAAGCCTAGGTAGAAAAGCCTGCCTCAGTGCAGACCCAGCAACTTCCAAGGGCTAGGGCAGGTAGGTGCCAGCTCCCTGCCAGTGCCTGCAGGCATGAGGCTAGGCTCTCATGAAAAAGCTAGCAGCTGCTGCAGCCCAGAACCAGTGGGGTAGCTTGCTGGACTGACTTGAGGGAGGTGGAGTCAACCGCCAGCACCATGTGCTAAGCAGAGCCTCAAAGAACAGATGCACAGAGGTTACTTGCCTTTTAAGGTTTGGCTCAAGCTGGAGATTCTCAGAAATCCAGGCCCAGATTGGTGGCGGGGAAACAATCCTCTGAACAGGTAGGGTATCCTTGAAAATGTGCTTAGGTGCTGAAGAAAGAAAAGAAAATCGAAGGGGCTGAAGAGATGGCTCAGCAGTTAAGAGCACTGACTGCTCTTTCAGAGGCCCCAGGTTCAATTCTCAGCACCCACATGGCAGCTAACAACTGTCTCTAATGCCAAGATCTGACACCCTCAAACAGACATACATGGAGGCAAAATACTGATGCAAATGAAATAAAAGTAAATAAATGATTAAGAAAAGGAAAAAAGTCAATATAAATAGTCATTAAAAAATAAAGTTTGAAAATAATAAAGTGAAGTCTTTTTTTAAAAATATTTATTTATTTATTTATTTATTATGTATACAATATTCTGTCTATATGTATGCCTGAAGGCCAGAAGAGGGCACCAGACCTCATTATAGATGGTTGTGAGCCACCATGTGGTTGCTGGGAATTGAATTCAGGACCTTTGGAAGAGCAGGCAATGCTCTTAACCTCTGAGCCATCTCTCCAGCCCCATAAAGTGAAGTCTTTAAAGAGAGTAAAGTAATATAAAAAGAATAATTCACAGATTCAACGCAATGCCCATCAAAATCCCAACAAAATTCTTCAGAGAACTCAAAAGAATGGTACTCAATTTCATATGGAAAAGCAAAAAACCCAGGATAGCCAAAACAATCCTGTATAATAAAAGAACTTCTAGAGCCATCACAATCCCTGACTTCAAATGCTACCTCAGAGCTACAGTACTGAAAACAGCCTGGTATTGGCATAAGAACAGATAGGAGGACCAATGGAACCGAATGGAAGATCTGGATATCAATCCACGCATCTTCAAACACCTGATCTTTGATAAAGAAGCAAAAAAAATCAAATGGAAAAAAAGAAAGCATATTTAACAAGTGGTGCTGGCATACCTGGATATCAACATGTAGAAGAATGAAAATAGACCCATATCTATTACCATGCACAAAACTCAAGTCCAAATGGATCAAAGACCTCAACATAAAGCCAGCCATTCTGAACCTTATAGAAGAGAAAGTGGGAAGTACACCAATGCATTGGCACAGGGAACCACTTCCTAAATATAACCCCAGCAGAACAGACACTGAGAGAAACAATTAAGAAATAGGACCTCCTGAAACTGAAAAGCTTCTGTAAAGCAAAGGATATGGTCAACAAGACAGAACGACAGCCTACAGAATGGGAAAAGATTTTCACTAACCCCACATCATACAGAGGTCTGATCTCCAAAATATACAAAGAACTCAAGAAATTAGACACCAAAAGATCACATAATCCAATTAAAAAAATGGATTGTAGACCTAAACAGAGAACTCTCAACAGAGGAATCTAAAATGGCTGAAAGATACTTAAGGAAATGTTCAACATCCTTAGTCATCAGAGAAATTCCATCTTACACCTGTGAGAATGGCCAAGATCAAAACCACTGATGACAACTTATACTGGAGGGGTTGTGGGGAAAAGGGAACATTTTTGCATCGCTGGTGGGAATGCAAGCTGGTACAACACCTTTGGATGTCAGTGTGGCAATTTCTCAGAAAATTAGGAAACAACCTTTCTCAAGATCCAATAAAACCACTTTTGGGTATATATCCAAAGGATGCTCAATCGTACCACAAGGACATGTGTACAACTATGTTTGTAGCAGCTTTGTCATAGCCAGAACCTGGAAACAACCTAAATGCCCCTCAATTGAAGAATGGATAAGGAAAATGTGGTACATTTACCCAATGGAGTACTACACAGCAAAAAAAAAAAAAATTACAGCTTGAATTTTGCAGGAAAATGGATGGAGCTAGAAAACATTATTTTGAGTGAGGTAGCCCAGACCCAGAAAGACAATTATCACATGTACTCACTCATAGGTGGTTTTTAAACATAAAGCAAAGAAAGCCAGCCTACAAACCACAATCCTAGAGAACTTAGACAACAATGGGGACACTAAGACAGTAAGAGAGAGACTTACATGGATCTAATCTACATGGGAAGTAGAAAAAAAAAGAAGTAAAAAAAGACAAGATCTCCTGAGTAAATTGGGAGCATGGGGACCTTGGAAGAGGATTGAAGTGGGGAAGGGAGAGGTGGGGGGGGAGCAGAGAAAAATGTAGAGCTCAATAAATATCAATAAAAAA